CAAGACATCCCCAAAAAAATGGTAATATGCTCTAGATGTGGAGTCTGACCAGTAGAGATTGTCTAATTCACCTTCATCGTTGGTTGTGTACTTGAAGAAGCTGCCCGCATCAGAGGTATGTTTACTTTGCAAGTAACCCAATGTTCGGTTAACATCTCCTATTAGATCGTCGTCAACTGTTCGGGATTGCTGAACAGCATTGTCCAAATCCTTTGGAGTGTACCCCCAGATTCTCATATCCTCCAGCTTTATTCTTCATGAACTGAACAGTGTTGCGTTGTTTTATTCCTAACTGTCGCATCCCTATCGCCAGAGCCTTGTCTCCTTCACTCACATTTCGATGAGACCGAAGGAATTGAGTTTCTTCTTCATTGCAGCAACGATGTGAGTGCTTCCTCTCAAACTTAGAAAGAACCCACATTTTCTTATTCCGATCAAAGCGTACAGTATACGATGCCTTGCAGGAATGTATTGTCATCTTACGATGTTGTCGAGTCCGACCTTCTTTATCTATATGAATCTTCTCTCTAGTCCCCTATCTCGAACATACCATTGTCCTCCCAATTGCTACTCCTCGACGACTCCTCCGAAGATCTCTACGTCGAACGCTAAATCCTTTCGCTTTAGCATAGGAATCGTAAAATTTCTCTGCATCTTCTAATGTTTGGAACTCCATGGAAGGAATTTGTTGTTCATATTCAGTAGCATCTTCATCATCCATAAATTCTTCTTCAGCACCCTCAATTTCATTATCATCCCCAACCACTTCATCATCCGTATTATCTATATCATCTGAATTATCCATAGCTCCTTCTCGAGCATCCTTAGGTTCCTCATCGAATTTAACCTCATCATCATCTCTATCATCTGTATCATCACTGTTATCCATCCTGCAACGATCGGAATACGAATTTAATGTAAAAAACATACACAATTAGCTCTCGTCAGGTCGACCTGAATGAACTATACGGTCGACCTTATTACTAAATAACAAAGATGAGGTCGACCTGAATTTACTAAATAACCATTAACAAGCACATACGAGACATACCTTAGCAAAGAGGTCGACCACTTATTGTTACGGTCTACCGGAATAAAAATAAACCGCCACCAACACCCGATCACAATAAGAGCGATGAGATTACAACTTCACTCCAACAAATTGCATAAATCGAAGTACGAATAAAGTCTTAAGACTCCCATCTATTTATAGATAATGTAGACGAATTCCTTATCCAATTGGTGAAAGATATATAAAATCATAATTCGACAAGGACAAGTACACAAAATCCTAATTGTACAAGGACATGAATCATTACGGTCGACCTCTTTGCACAAATGGTCGACCATCTTGGGTAAATGTGAAACAGGTCGACCTCTTTACACAAATGGTCGACCGTTGTTTATAAATGTGAAACAGATCGACCTCTTTACTGAAATGGCCGACCATTGTTTAAAAATGTGAAACAGGTCGACCTCTTGACACGTATGGTCGACCGTATTTTATTAAGGCCAAACAGACGAGATTCCATCCTTATTCCACATGGTTTTTGACTTTGCTACGGTATCATAGGTCGACCTTAAGCGTCACGAGGTCGACCTGTGCTCTGCCTTTGGGTTTGCCCGCTTTGAGTATGGGGTCGACCACTTGTTCTAGACGATTGAAATCGTAAATTCAGTCACATTCATAATTGTATAACAAATCTAATAAACGATAAACATTCAAAATCCAAAATGAAACGATCTCGCAAATTCAAATTCAATGTATTGTCTAAATAATGCAACATTGTAACTTAAAGACTTCATTTCTTTGCTTTTTTGTTTGAACTCTGTCTCTCTTTGCCTCGTTCCATGCATTCATCTACTACATGCTTGAAAAGATTTTCTCGTGCACGGTTTTCAAAATGTGTAGCCAGATACCATAGAATCTCCTTTCGAGCGGTAATTTGTGTTCTTCTCCTATCTGCATTATGCCATGTAAGACTTCGTTAGAGCTAAAAAAAAGTGTAAATTAAACAAGTTATTTGTTTGACGATATACTCACCACTCTATCCAGATCCTTGGATCCATAGCGCATCCACTGCATGACGTGCACACCACACTCAGTATTATTCCTTTGCCGTTGAACTCGTAGCTCATCAAAATTGAAATCTCCAAAATTTGGTACTCCTACATTGCTCATGCGCTCCGGTTTGAAAATATCTTCCAAATTGGACAACTACACACAAATAACGAATAATTTAAGCTTCTAGCATAATACGTGACACTTAACAGTCAGAAAATTATAGGAAACACTTACCAATTTCTTGCATAGTGTTGATTTACGCCTACGATTCGCCTCACTAGTTGAAGGTAGACTGTCAAGCAAAAATGCAGTTTTTTGCTGGACATTGACGAGATACAGAAACCAATGATGTGCTTCATCGTCAAGAACTGACATAAATATCTAGCAACGAAACACTCACTATATGTTATAAACAGCGAATACAAACAAATTCACTTTCGAAATTTAATGATATAGGGACATTGACTAGACTAACCTTCTGGCATGCACTAACATTCAGCATAAACACCACGCCATCATTCATCAACTTGTTACGAATTTGTCTGGTCTTCATGTTAGCGCGTACCATTTTCTGCACCATGTTTTAATTGAGATGAATTGACATGGTACAATATAAATAACTAGGTTATGAAAAAAAATTTGACATTACGGCTCTTACCGAAAACATATTTGGCAAATACCACACATTTGGCTCTTTCACATCATGTTTTTCAGACATTGTTAGTATCCTTGCACACAAATCCACTACCTACCATCCAACAATCAAACACAAAATCATCGTAAATCGTAACATATATAGTGCACAATTCATACGAAAGTCGTAGTAGTATAGTACTTACTGATGAGCAAACCTAGCTATTCTCGCTAATGACCGAACTCAAATAATAGTCCACAATGGTCAAACTGCAAAAATCAAAATAACAGAAATGTCAATTGTGATTTGCAACGTACAGGTCGACATGTTCACAGTCACGGTCGACCTTATTGGACAAACGGTCGACCTCATGACCTAAACGGTCGACCACACGTACTAAAAAACGTCTTACTTGTCCCAATTCGTGTCCCCAGCCTTCTCTTTAGTAACAACATAATACAAGTCTTCAACGGGATTTTGAAGATTTTTGGTGAATCGTTCTAGACCCTCTACTTTCATGACCTACAAATCATAGTTAAAATTAAAATAACATATGAACACAAACACACATTATAGATGAATATGTAACGTAAACTTACCCCGTGCTTTTCGAAAGGACTCTTAGATTCATCTTCATCGCTATCAGCACTAAATAATCCTTTTCTTACAAATTGATCCTTCTATGGAGTGGTGTAGGAGTCACTTTCATATCGCGGTCTCTTGTACTTAGGAGAGGAACCCTTGCTGCCATTCGTTGTTTCACTCTGTCAAACATATAAACAAAACAAATTAGCACTAATGATAGTAATACTAATATCTTCAATCACATATGAATATACTTGGATACCTTTAAAATGTGCTCTTTCAATAAATCGTCTATGCTCTGGTAGCAATTTTCAGAGTCATCATGGTCTTCCTCCTCTTTATCAAAGTCAAATTTCTTTCCTTTACCATCTCTTCCGCCATTCTCCATTCGTTCTGCACTTATATCTTTGATATCACCTTCTAGCCTCTCAAACCCGTCATGCATCATCCCGGTCATATCTGTCTGTCGAACTGACAATTGCTCCACTCTATCACGCATGGACTTCTGAAAGTCATTGACTTGTGTTTGACACACCACCAGCTTCTCTTGTGTGGCTTTCAACGATTTCATGATTTCACCCAAATCTTGATGCAGTCTCTCATCATGCGTCATCGTCTAAACAATTTAAAGAAAAATTCAAATCATAATTCAACTACAAGTTTCTACAATTGACCAAAAAACAAAGACGTGGTCGACCTGACAAAGTATTAGGTCGACCTGGAAAACAAATAGTGACTACCACAACCATTAAGGTCGACCTCTGTTCTTCCTAGGTCGACCTATCCAGCAGGAAAAATAACAATTAACAACAAAAAGTAAGTTCAAAATTAAAACGAAAAAAGGATAGGTCGACCAGATATCTGGCGCGGTTGACCTTTTCAAGCACAACATAGTCATACAAACAAAGACAAAGTCGACATTCAGGTTGAATAACCAAAACAAACAGAAACGGTCGACCTTGAAACACATTAGGTCGACCACTTGGGTTGATCTTCGTTACCTCGCAAGTACAGAAGTCCAAGTGTTGTGCCCTAAATTCAAATACGAAGAATTGTCTCGTCAGGTCGACCTGGTTGATGTTACGGTCGACCGAATGGAATTCTGCACGCAACAATATATCAAATTAGACGGTGGAAATCACGCATTACAAAAGATGATGGTGAATGCTACATTAGGTCGACCTCACCTTCGACCTGGTCGACCACTTCCAACACGTACAACAGCAACCGCGAACGATCTTCTTCACAAAGGCTCTAAATCGGGAAAAAACCTAATTCAGACTTGGTGGCGTTGAAGGGGACTTATATTCGTATTTACAGAGATTTAGGACATGAATGGGTCGACCCAATTCGTTTCCTTGTCCAATTGTGGAACCTTTCTGGTGTTGGAATCCTTGTCTAATACAGATACGGTGTGAATGCGGTCGACCGCTTTCTAATGCGGTCGACCTGTTAGGTGCACAATGGTCGCCCTATGAGGTATTTGGGTCGACCTTTCATTCTGTTAGTCCACCAAAGAGATCGACCATATTATGTAAGAGGTCGACCGCGTCTCGGAACCTCACATACATGAATTAGTCAGTCCGGTCGACCGCATGATGAATTAGGTCGACCGAAAAGTCCATGTCACGGTGACATGCATGTCACCGTAGCAAAATCCTAAGATTTACTCCTAATATAAATGAAGTCGGATAATAAACATGGATAAATACCAATGTCTAATCTAGGTATTCATTAGGTTAGAACTTATTCAGTGAGCCTAACCCCTATCAAATTATTTTTCTTTCAGGGTTAACTCCAAAAATGATTTCATTCAAACTAGTGAATGCAAACGAATGGTTGAGAGGAGGACGATGTGACAAGACTTCCATGTGTTTAGCTTATGCAATGAAACGAATTACTTATTTTCTCCAAATGTGGTTCGTTTTGCAGGATATTGAACCAAGCAATGCATCTATTATTTCAACCATTTACATAAGTTTTATCTTCAATTGGCATCCCACAAAGTTACCCGATCGAGTTTATCTTCGCCTAATTAAGACACATGCTCCTCTTCTTCTTTTCCGTGTATCCCAATCCCAGAACCCTACAAACCCAACTCGAAACATATTTGGTGCATAACCTCAATATCAACCATCCATCCTCAGATTAATCCAAACCATCAATTTATAGATCTGAGTGTGCATCATCTTACACGTGCCAACCCGAGCACGCCATACCTACAAATCGAAGAGATATATTGGTCCTTCACAACCGGACCACTCTCAACATCTAACCCACCCACCGAATCAACCCCACAACCGGACAAATCCCGCCCACCATTATTCTTCTTATATATTAATTAGTACTATTATTATTCAGCGAAACACAGTAATAGCTCGGCGGTGATGGGCTGACCGACCGGCCGGCCGGCAATGCATGGTTTGGTTTTCAATCACGGGAAGAATCTCTTCATGTTGGGACGAGGTACACAGACCGCCTCCAACGGCGTCTCCCTCGGCATCGTGATCCCTTTCGCTTCCGCCATATCAACCTCTCCCTCCCTGACTCTCTCCCAATCAAAGCACTGAATCAACGTCCCCAGGGTCAAGCCCACGACCCGCAGGGCCACACCCTGGCCCGCACAGGACCTCCGGCCCATTCCAAAAGCCAAGAACCTCCCACCTTCTTTTGCACCACTAATTTCATCGAACCTCTCGGGCCTGAACGTCGTCGGATCGTCCCAGAGGCTGGGGTCCCTGTGGATGGCAAACGCATTGACGATGAGTATGGTGTCCCGCGGCACGTGGTACCCTCCCACCACGCAGTCGTCGGTGGAGATGCGGGGGACGAGCATCGGCGTCGGCGGGTACAGCCGCTGGGTCTCGGAGATGATGTTGTTAAGGTAGGGCAAGTTGGGGAGGTCGGTCTCCTCGATCAGGCGGTCCAACCCGATTTGGTTTTCGATCTCGTCCCTTGCCTTGGCCAGTACGTCGGGGTGGTTGAGAAGGTTTGACATGATCCATTCTAGCGTTACTGCGTTGGTGTCGGTTCCGGCCAGCAGCATGACCTAACATGCATGAAAAGAATTGAAGTTCAGGCAGGGAGGGACGGAGTCAAGATTTGAAATGTAACGAACATATTATGATATTTTGGATGTATCAAAATCTAGTAGCTTGACACCTAGGTTTAATCATGTAGCCTAATGGACGGGTGATATAAAAATGGGAGATATAGTTTGGCAACTTAATCGGAAAAAAACTCACAATAAAAGCACGAATTTGTCGACCAACTTTACTAAATTTTATTTTTACGTACAGTTATTAGTTATAAAATTTCACAGTCTATAAAAAAATAATGATGTGTGAAATGACTAAAATGACCTCACCAGAACAAGACCTTTGATCAACTGGTCATCGTAGCTTTCGGGATCATTCTCCTGCAACGCAATCAAGCGGTCAATCATGGTGCTGGTAGACTCTAGCTTCTTCTCCTTGCTCTTATGCTCCTCAATCAGCCCTTGGAAGAACCGGTCCATATTCCCGGCCAGCTCCTTCACCGTCTTCTCGAACCTCCCGCGGTCCAGCCACCTCATCAACGGCACGAAATCCACCGCGTTGGTGGCCCCACCGAGCTCCGCCACCTCCTTCATTATCTTCGTGAACTCCTTCGCCACCTCAGCGTCGCTCTCACTCGCCCCGCCGCCGTAGTACCTCTTCCCGGCCACCATCCTCGTCATGTTGTTGAAGGCCAGGTCGTTGAACGCCGACGTCAGCTCCACGCGCTGCCTCCCTCCAGTCATGAGCCTGGCGACGATGCGGTGGACCTCCTCGCGACGGATGGAGGTGAAGGAGTTGACTCGGGCGGTGGAGAAGATCTCGACGGCTCCGATGCGGCGGAGGTTGCGCCAGTGCTCGCCGTAGGGGGACATGGTGACGGTGGTGTTGTCGTACTCCAGGTGCTTCCCCAGGATGAAGTGCGGGCGGTTGCCGAAAACGATGTCGTTCTTTGTGAAGCATTCCTCCGCCAGGGCCGCCGAGGAGACCACCACCGCGCGCTGGCTGCCGAGCCGGAGGGAGAAGATGGGCCCGTGGTCGCGGGCCAGGGCCTGGAAGGCTCGGTGGACTGGGTGCTTCAGGAGCCTCATGTGGCCCACGATCGGGAGGGCGCCCGGGGGAACGGGAGGGAGTTTCCGGCCTCCGCGGCGGCGGCCGGAGGTTAATAAGTAGTAGACGGAGAAGAAGAGAAGTGGAAGGAGGAAATAGCCGTAGTGGTAGATTTGGTTGTAGGAAGCTTCCTCCATTGTCGTTAATGTTCGATCGGCTGGTAGGAACGTAAAAGTAAGCAGAACAGGAGAGGGTTTTATAATATGGTCGTGAATACAACTACAAGAAATATCTAGGTTTAATCATGTAGCCTACTGGACCACCATAACATTTGTGGTTCTGGTTTCTTCAATGCATGAACATTATCACAACTCACGGCTTGTCTCATAGAACGTACAATTATTGTAGTTGTCAACTAGAACTGGGCCCGCCCGTTGGCCGGATGAACAACATTAGTGTTATAAACAATAATAGTAATTGTTCAAACCAAGTTACGCTTTAATTTTATACCATTGAAGAACCCAAATTATGCAATTATTAAAAATATATAAAAAAGCAATATAACAGAAGTAAAAAAGCACAACTCATCCTGATGATTTATGCACGAAACTCATTATTAAAAGCAAAAAAAAAAAAAAAAAAACACAACCCATGATTTCTAAAAAACTTAATATTCAAATGTACTTCAATTTACTTTTCGTTGTTAGAAATTACGCCAAAAATTTCTTTGTGATTGCTATGCCATCAAAATCATATTCGACTGCTTCATCTTCATTAATGAAACATGTATATTCATCATGAATAGTCTCTTCCTTTTTCTCCCGCATTTCACCGGAATCCATATTTTAGTGGTTAAGTTTGAAAATGTGATACTCATTTCGCGGTAGTAGATATTTTCTCATCCAAATAATAAATATTATCAACCATTTGTTATTTTCTCCCATCATTGAAATTTTTATATCCATCATCAACAATATCTTTCTTTTATCTTAATAACATAATTATCTCCAAATCTCCATCACTGAATTCCACTACCTATACCATTAACATACTCTTCCTTCTCCATTTAATGTATTTGGGTTGCAACTAAACCACATAAATAAACTATTGGTTGCACTGTTACGTTTTCCGTTTTCAAACTTAATAGTGGGTATTAAACTTTTGGTACCAAAATATTTAGAATTGTGAAACTATATTTTCAAGAACTTAAATTTACTCAGTACATGCATTGAACTTTGCCTGAGGTTACTCTTCTTCATCTTTTGTTATCTTCAAAACGAAAATTTAACTTCATTCTCTCAATTTGTAGGAGATGAGGAGGTGAAGGTTATCTCATTTTGCCGCTATCTTTAAGTAGTTTCTCGGTAGGCATTCCAAAAAATCTAGCTTCTTCATGACAAAACAATAAAGTTAGATTAAACAATGTTGTCTACCAGAGCTGGATGCTAATCTATAAAATAGTAACAATTGAGATACACTATTTGATCAAAAATTTTATGTTTTAGTGGGTACAATTTTTTCGTGAATGAATTTGAACTTAAAAACAATAGAATATTAGAGATAGATTGTTATCCAACTACTACTTTCTTTGATATTGTTATATAATTTTTATAAAATTACTCATCAAAGTCTTCTTCTAATTTTCTTTGGCAAGTTCAGTGAAAATAAAAGACAAATCTCATTCATGAGATTGGAATAACTTCTCAGCCAGCATAAATATTAAAAATTCTCATGTATGAGATTAGAATATTAAAATTGACAAATAAATTAGACTATCGATCATATAATATTAAAAATTCTCAATTTTAATATTCTTAATTAAAAAAATTTCTAGCCCTAATAAATATGTATAAAAATTCCCCGGTTATATCTACAAAGCCCTTAATTCAACAATTTTTTTATTATGATAGAATTTATTTGTCATCAAATTTAATTTATAATACGTTTATGTGTTAGATTTTGCTTGGGAACTATTTATTATAGCTAGTTATTGAAATGTCATTTCTCAACTATGAGTTACAAAAAAAATGTAAGGTACAGATCAAATAACTAATGAGTTGATGAATGACTACTTAACTAAATATTTCGAAGAGAATTTGCTTGATAACTGAATACAATGTCATAGAATTTTTTTTTATAAATAGGACCCATTAAACTCGGGTGCTGACTACGCGACTGCCTAACCATGTGCTATTGTGATTCTATTTCCATAGTTTTAGTGCAAAAGTGTTGGCTTTCAGCCAAATAGCAAGGAATTTACGATAATTTAACTAATCACCCTGGTCATTCCTAACCATGTTCACAATAGACAATTTGGTTTTTGTTTTTATTTAATTTAGCTTTTTTTTTTCAATTGCTTCTCCTACAAAAGAAGCTTGACTATTCTGTGGTTAATTGAGTGACATTCGAATTTGATTTTGGCAACCGTAGCAGACAAAAGAAGCCGGGCTCACGAATACAAAAAAGCTCATTCTGTGAATTTAAACAAAGCTGAGTAGCTCTTAAAAAAAAAAAACTAAGTAAAAGGACCGAGGAGTCCTTCCGTACTATGCGCAGAACAAAGGAAAAGGAAAAAAGGAACGGAATGGGAACCGACGGGAACCTCTATATATATGATTGGGAGGATTAGCACACTGCTACTCAAATTTGGGTAAATTACAAGCTGGGTGACTTGGTATGTCAATTTTTACCACATTTGCCACTAACAAAATTTTTCTCTTGTTAGTTACTCACTTCATTGTTCATTTCTTAGTTACTATACTTCCAATTACGTTACGTTTGTCTTATGTGGTATAGTGAACTATAAAATTGATCCTTAAATGGATGACACGAAAATTAAAGTAAATAAAAGTATTTTAAATTTGTAGATAACTGTCCCACACATTTTAATTAAAAAGGAACTAACTTATATATGACAAAGGCTTTAGAGTACACCAGTCGTACGGTATACGGCTGTGTTCACACATATTATTTATACTTTGATAATTTTGAAGAATCATAACCATTGATTTTCATTTTAAGATTAAATGAATCTTATATATATTGTGACTTCTATCGTATCTTTGGTAAAATCAAAGATATAATATACATTGTGTAAAATATAATATATATATATATATTGAATTGTCCAGATGTTGAGATATGATACTATACCCTAATAACCCTTGATGAGTGAACCCCAGGTCTTAGTTATCTTATTTAATCATAAACCTTAAATCCCAAAATGGTGCATGTAATTTTTTGCATATATTTCAACGAATCATGACCGTCGATCATTGTTTCTAATCAAACTGGTGTTAGTGTATGAGATTTATAGAACTAAGACCCAGATTTTAATATTTAATGATTAGGATACAGCACTACGTCCCAAACGCTAATCAATTCAAGGTCTAAATGTCATTTTCTTACTCAATGTATATTATATCATTGATTTTACCCAAAGCACTTCCATATATTATACCTTTGAATTATGATTAGTATGGGTATAGATTCTTATTTGTTAGTACTTAGTAGCGTGGCTCTTGACAGATTAATGACTAGTTTGTTTAGTGGGCTACTTTCTAGCTAGGACTCTGTTGAAGGAAGATACTATTCAGTTTAATGCCCATTACTGAACTCAGCTCACACTCAAAGGACCGTTAAATAATTCTCTGATAAGTGATTTATTGTGATGGATCGTTGATAAAGCGTTCATTGTTGGCGTTGTGCCTATTAACAAATCGTTTTTGATAATGGTGTCCGTTAACAATTCCTTTTGCGCAATCACTTTTGACAACAACAAGTTTGATGGCCTAGTACTACTGCATACAATGATTGATCCTTGATGTTTATTGCTGCATTTCCCCCTTTTTTTTATAATAAGAAGAATTATTCATTTTGAGGTCCAAAACAACTTGGTTGATAGGAAAGACGACCGTCGAGTATTCGCCAGTATATCACTACAAAAATGGACAGCTCATTAATTTCTTCCATTGCTATTGTTTTTGTCCTTTTCTCAAATGTAATGGTATTGGTTTTGTGATACAGATTTTTATTTTTATCCATCGTTACGCTCTGTTTCCAAAGAGAGGAGAAAAATACGGAGAGGAGGAAAAATTATGAGAGGAAGGAAAATTTGCAATGTTGTCAGAATCGAACCGGAGTATGAACCGGTAACGTGAACGGTTCGCACTTTAGTAAATTTGAATTATATAAATAATCTAAAACAAACCCTACCATGCGTCCATGCCGCCGTCCCTCCTTTTCTTTCTTCTTCTTCTTTCTTTTAGTGTTTCCCTTCAACAGGAGAGGCGGCAGGTTCTACCAAAAAGAAAAAAGAGAGAGCCGGCAGTGGGATAGCTAAATCGACGGCCAGAGCTTCGTTCGAGAGGATGGAGTCGTCGTCGCTGAGTTCGCCGATCGGAGCAGGAGTAAGAGCGGCAGGAAGTTGCTGGAGAACGAAGATATTCCCCTGCTCGACGAGCTTCGTTTCCCAGCGACAGAGGGCGGCGAAGGGTTTTTCAGCCGGGCTTCTGTTTCCCATCTCAGATTTCACATTTTTTTATTCTCTGACTTTGTTTTTTAATTTGACGGCCAGAGGTAGAAAACCGGTGGGTCGGTTCGAGCGGTTAACTGCCTCGGCCGCTCACTGACCGCCAAAATTGACCGTTGCGATTATTTGACTGATCCGAACCGATTTGATGGTCGGGTATCGGTTTTACCGGTCGGATCGACCGGCTCAGGTCGGTCTTAATAACACTGAAATTTTGAGATGAGAAAAATGGTTGGAAAAATGTCGTTTTGTAAAGAAAAGTTAAAGAAAAGTAGGAAGGGAAAGTCGGAAGGAAAAAGTATACAAGTAAATATGCTAGATGTGTTCTTTTATCAATTTGGTAAGAGTAAATATGTGAAAAATATTTTCATATAAAAATATATAGAAATGGACATTACGAATAACTAACTTCTACATTGATCATAACCATTTTCATTATTTTTTACGGAATATATCTCATTTATTTTTATTCGATTTAAAATTTTGCCATAAAATTTTGATTATTTTTACTGGACAAAATTGGTATCGTTTTACTTGGAATGTAACACACTTTTACATCTCGTGTAACAATTTTAGATATTGCATAAAACAACGTTAACTGTGACCTAATTCAGTATTGTGTTCGATTCATAGTTACATATGACATAGTAAAACTTAGATGAGATTATGTTTGTTCCGAAACTTAACTCAACACCTTATCAAATGAAAAATGAGTGTTCACCGTTGGTCAAAATATATAAAATTTGATTAACGGTTTAGATCTTCATTAATCGACTTTTTGTTTGATCTTTAACGATTAGTAAAATCAAATTGCCTAATTTAATTGTGAATGAGTTTTATTGTAACCAAATTAATCATGTAATTGATAAAAACATCACTCTTTCACTAGGTTAATAGATAAGACAATTTATTGGTTAGTCACTTGACCGATAATCTATTCATAAAAAACCATTTGTGGAAGTTGCCACTTGCCAGCGTGACAGTTTACTCTATTAGTTGACCGTTAAATAAGTGACGTGGCCTTTGAAAAATGAAAAGAAAAAATTAATTACTTAACAATTCCACCTCACAACTACTTTACTATCTTCTCCGCATACCCAAAAAAAAATCTCTAATTCCTATTATTCTGCTGCGTGTCTTCCTTCCTGTGCACCCACCATTGCCGCCGCTCCAAGAGATGCTCGCCTTAAAGCCTTATTGCCCACCACCACCGATGCCGCACTAAACGCCCTTGTGCCAGAAGAAGATGAAATTTGGAGGCGAAACCCGGCGTTAAGGTCTATTCTCCTGAAATTGCTAGTCATCGTCATACTTGTCGTCCCTGGCATCAATCCTTGTCGCTGCCGCCAGTCGTCATCATCGTCTTTGTCGGTCCTAGTTACTGCCATCAGTCGTCGCCGTACTCATCCACGCCAACCCTTCCCCCTTTCTCCTCCGTTTGTGTCTTCTGGGTTTGGTCCAATTGGCTGCAGCGGCAATCCCACCTCCGACGCCTCTGTCCCGAAGCGGGTAGATCTCTGAGTTGATGATCCATGGTGCAGTGTCCATACCGGGGGGAATATGAGATGATGTAGAGTCCCAAGAGGAGGACGGCCGAGAACCCGATCTTGCTCGAGCAACTGTTGACACCTAAAATTAATTTGGCCTGAATTAAATACCGCATTAATTAGTCTCGGCATTTAATTCGATACCACGGGTTAAAAACGGTGTCGTTTGGAGTCGAGCGGCGTCGTGGAGAGTTAAAACGATACCGCGAAACAGAAAAACGATACCGCAAGGAGGCTCAGCGGTACCGCGGTACTGGAAACGAAACCGCTTACCGAGAAACAAAAGGGGCCGCGAGTTTTAGTGTAGGTGTCGGGGAAGGAGTTTTCTGTTTATAATTAATTATTATTTTTATTCCTTGTTGGAAGGGGAAAATTGGTATCGCGGAGAATTAAAATGGTACAACGGTTGTATCAGCGGCGCCGTTTAATTCAAAACAGTACCGCGAGTAGGCCCAACGGTGCCGCTGTACTAGCAAACGACAGTGTTTAAAATAACAATCAATGTCGCAAAAAGGAAAAACAAACGGAGTTGTTGTGGTGCTAGTGATGTCGTTGGCCATAGCTAGTGATGGGCGGATTAATTAATTAATATTTTAATGGCTGTTTAGGACGGTGTCGTTTAGTTGAAAACGATGTCGCAAGAGGAAAGAAACGACACCGCGGATTTAAAAACGATACCGCGAGTAGGCCAAACGATGCCGCAACAGTTAAAACGACAGTGTTAAAGTTAAAACAGTATTGCGAAGCTCAAAAGTTCAACGACATCGCGGGACAAGGAAACGATGTTGTTTAACTGAGAACGACGCCGAGGGGTGAGAGTTTGACGGCGAGTTAACAATGAGGGCTGGTTTAATTAATTAGTATTTTATGATTATTTTAGACGGTGTCGTTTAATGAAAAGCGATGTCGCGGAAAAGTAAAACGACATCGTGGTAGTGGTAAGAGTTCGGCCAAAGGCAGCCCGCCAAGCCCAACGATGGTGCAAGAGTAGAGAACGACGTTGTTTGATGGACTAACAATGTCGTTGGTTAAACCGGGTCGGGGCAGTTGAGTTGGATTATAAAACGGCATCGGTTGGTTAAAGGCGATGCCGTGGTGTTGGTGAAACGACATCATTACATGGACAAGGTTGTAGGTCGTTTCGCCGAGTTTCTGCAAAGCAAGAGCGGTTTCGAGGGCACGTGATTATCACGCAACAAGGAGGAAATTACCTGCACGGTTGAAGGAGTGAAGACGTGGGAGACAAAGGCGCGAAGGCAGTTACTACAACGAGGAGAAGCGCGAAGTATAAAGATTGGGAAGAGAGAGAAGCGAGTGACGGCAAAATCAAATCTCAAACTGCACCGTCGCAGAATCTATCTTTTTCTTCCTAGTTTGTAGAACTTCTCTGTCAAAGACCTCCTTTGCAGAGTCGTAGTAGTCGTAGATCGTAGTCGTAGTTGCGGAGCTCTCCAGAGGAACCTGCATAGGAGTAGAGGTAACGTAACTTAGAACACTCCTGGTTCGATTTTCTGGTTATTCGCCGAACACCCTCGTTCGAATGTAGTTTGGAGAGGTGGTGAACCGAATAACGGTTGTTTGATTAGAAGTTAAAGGTGCATCGATCAAATCAACATCGCCTACGCCGGCGGTGGATATTTGACGGTCGTCTTTGTTTCTGTTCGATCGATCAAATCAACGACGCCGACATTCGGCGGCGGATATTTGACGGTTGTGATTGACTTTGTGTTTTGTTGAAAACAGTGCGCATTGAAAACGCGAGTTTCGCCAACGAAACAAATTGCCAACAGTGGCGCAAACTGCCGACTAGGGTGAAATAACGCGCATGCTTCGTCAAGTCATGGCTGATAACCAACAGGTAAAACTTCACTTAGCCTCTTTGGATGGACGTCTTGATGGTCTTAGCTCTCGGATTGATAGACGTGTTAGCCAATTGGTTGAAGTTGTGGATAAAAACAGAATGGATTTTGAAAGTAACCGACGTGATTTTAATGATTTTAGAGAGTTTTTGAATAGGCCAGTGCCGCAAACAAGGTCTTTGCCGTTAAGTGGCGAGAATCCGTTACACAACGACACTGGCACCAATAGCTTTCCGGTCAATGGCGGCCGAGATACTCAGCCGAGACAGGGCGTTTCGCCGACACCGGTGTTGAACCCAACAAGTCCGTCGAGAGTAAATCTTGGCGAGACCAGCATTGCGGCCAACACTCGTGTTGAGCCGCCACCAGTGCACAATGTGAGTCCACAAAATATCCTGGAGGCCAGAACCTACGTGGCTCTGATGAGAGGTACTGTTGGTGGAGGAACGATCAACAATGATCATGTCCAGCCACGCGGCTACCCGCAAAACGTGCCTCCTCCTCCAAACGGGCTTGGCATGGATCCTGGTGGATTCGTACCACAAGGGGGGAAACTCGGGGGGCAAGACGTTAATGCGATTCGAGATCAAGTAGCACAGATGCTGGCGGATCAGTTTGGTTTAGGGATTAGACCAGCGATGCCGCCGGTGTATCGAAAACCATATCCAGATTGGGTTGATAGATATTACCCCTTTCCACGTGGTTTTCGCGTGCCTGATTTCATCACCTTCAGCGGGACTGGAGATTAGTCCACAGTCGAGCACGTTGGACGATTCACGATTCAATGTGGTGATGTGAGTGATTTCTTGAAGTTGCGTTTGTTTGGCAACTCATTGACCGGTCCGCATTCGCGTGGTACGTCAACTTGCCATCGAACTCGGTTCAAACTTGGCAGCAAATGGAACAAATGTTCCATGCCTAGTTCTACCGTTCTGAGCCAGAAGTAACAATGGCAGACTTGGCACGAATGCGCCAACAGCCAGGAGAAACAGTGGAGCACTTTTTAACAAACTTTAAAAATGCAAGAAATCGCTGTTTTGTGAACTTGACAGAACGTGAGTTTGTTAAACTGGCCCAGGGTGGATTGAATTTTGAACTTCGTAAAACGTTTCAAGATAGGGAGTTCTCTGATTTGTTTCAATTGATGTCCTGCGCTGTTAGATACCAGTCTCTTCTCCATGAAGAAGAACATAAGAGGAGTGGTTCTCGCGGACAATATTTTCCTAATTTTGAAAACTATTGTGTGAATAACGTCGGCAGCAATGTTGATGAGGTCGAAGTCGATTTGGCCGAGATCGTGTAGGGGAAGCCATATGTGTGTGCTTCTTTAGCCAAGGCCGATGGGGAACCACAAGGTGGAAAAACCAATCGAGCTCCAATTCAACCTAGGAAATATTCCTTTGATGTTTCAAAATCAGAACTAATTTTCGACCAGCTTTACAAAGATGGTCAAATTAAGTTGACTGGGGGGCATACTATCCCTCCGGCTGAAAAATTAAAAGGGAAACGATACTGTAAATGGCACAACAGTGCATCTCATTCAACTAACATGTGTGTTGTGTTTCGCAACGTTGTGTAGGATGTAATTGAGAAAGGTCGGTTCAAGTTCCCAGAGCCGAGGAAGGAGGCCATGATTGTCGACACAGACCCTTTCCCAAACGTTGTCGGCGTCAACATGGTCAATCCCGATTTCTCTAAGATCAACCTGCCACGCTTCAAGCTGGTGGTGGATACAACGCCACCGCCGAGTGGTAGTTCTGATGTGGCCCAAGGAGCTTCATCCTCCCAAGTGCCTAAGGGGCCAAGCTTGGACCCAACTGAGAAAGAGAAGTTGTGTGCCCAGTGTCGCGGAAAGCTAAATATTGGGGGAGCAGGGCCGAGCCAGTCGGTCCACCAGAGATTGGGACCACGACGGTTCAAACCGAGGTACCCCTCATATGAACGCAATGTCAAAGGAGTACGTGCACCTGCATGGGGAAGAGGGCAACGTAGACAGTAGGTTGCTCAAAGTGCCCCACCTCTCAAAAGTCTGCCTTTTGGACTTGCCCAACCGGTGAGAGGTCCCCCACCTGTCAGGAGAACTTTCAGGATGCCAAATGTGCCACAGGGTGGTTGGCACACCTACGACGTCTGTCGTCAGCAGCCCATCGCGGTTGAAGGGATGACAAGGACACAGTATCGAAGGTACCTCCGCAAGAATGCTCAAGGAAGGAGGATTGCAAACTTGCAAGCAAATGTGAACGTGGATAACTCTACCACGGGTCTGAGAGTGAGTGTGGCGGGTGCTGGAAAATTTGTCGAGTACAAGCTGGATAGGAAAGTCCAGGGAGAGGTTGATGTTGGAATTGGAGGAGCCGAAGTCAAAATTTGATCGAAAAAACAAGGACGACGATGATGACAACCAAGGTGCTCCCTTGACGATCTAGTTTGGAAGTCTACCACCGGTGGTGGTGAACAACTACATCTTGCTTTTGATTTTCCACATTGATTTGAAAAATCAGGGAGAGGATGGCGAGGTCGTGATGGAAGTTGAAGAACTGGACGAAGCTGCTCAAGAGGTCAACGTTGCTGAATTGGTGAGCGGTTTTGCTCAACTGACTTTAGAGGAAGAGAATGAGGAGCCAGCGACGGCAGAGCTGGTGGGCGAGTCTGCGGATCTGTCAATCGAGGCTGAGCCGTGGAGTGCAATGATGGCTCGCACGAATGGTCGAATTGATTTGGCAATAGAGTCAGCCAAGCAAAACAAGAGTTCGCAGAGGATCCTGAACGAGTTGTACGAAGCAGGACACAAAGGTGTTGGGCTACTGGGCGAAGATGGGGGAAGATATCCTTTTTATATGTTATACCAAGGCCTGAAAGAGTCAACAAGTGTGCCAGTGGAGAACATCACATGGGGATCGGACTTTGACGAGCTGGAGAAATCTATCCGGGCTGTAGAAGCAAAAGGGAAAGCCGTGGACAAAGGAACCACGGGTGAGGAATCAAACAGGGTCGTTGTTTTCAACGAGCCCGAGCCGAAGATGATGCGTCATTTGAGACCTCTCTACATCAAGGCCACACTTGATGACGTACCAATGTCGAGAGTCTTAGTTGACAATGGTGCTGCAGTAAATGTGATGCCAACAAGGATGCTGAAGAAGTTGGGCAAGAGCACTAATGACTTGATCCCAACGGAAGTGTTTGTGACAAGTTTCAATGGCGGGTCCACTTCTGCCAGGGGAATCCTCCCAGTTGTCGTGGGAGTTGGATCACAAAAGCGGATGAGTGCTTTCTTCGTGGTGGATGGAATGATAAGTTACAACGCACTACTTGGTCGGGATTGGATCCACGCCAACAAGTGCGTTCCTTCATCGCTGCATCAGTGTTTGATGCTCTGGAATGAAGACGATATCATTGAGGTGGTCCAGGCTGACGCAAAGCCATTTGCCGTTGGGGCCAACGTGGCCGAAGCTTACTTGTACCATGGGGATTTTGGACCACTCAAAATCAGGAGTGGGGATGGAGGAACGCCCAACGTCATAGTGTCAAGTGCACAGGTGTTGAGTAAGGCGTGTTTGGACCCATTGTCCGAAATCGTGAGACCATCGATGATCACATTGGATGGTCCAGTGAAAGCTGATGAACAAGTCAATGATGAGTGAACCACCTTGAGAGAAGGTGGTGGAGGCCGAGATCACGGCCTAGCGGGAGAAGTTGGCTGTCTATCAATGTGAACAGAGGCTTGTCTGTATCGAGCCTGTCTTGATGGCCGACTGTGTTCCCGACGATGATGACTTGCCGACTAACGGCGAGGGTGTAAGTGACGAAGTGGAAAAGAAAAACAACCTTGTTGTATGTGACATTTTGGAGGAGATCAACCTCGGCACTGAGGAGGATCCACGCCCAACCTTCATCAGTGCCGGTTTGCCAGAGTCTGAGAGGTACGAATTAATTGAATTCCTTAAAGAGTTTAAAGACTGTTTTGCATGGGATTATCATGAAATGCCTGGTCTCGATAGGAAGTTAGTTGAACATAGACTTCCAATTAAAGAAGGTTATAAGCCACATAGACAATCACCAAGACGTTTTTCGCATGATATCTTGCCTGAAGTGAAAAAGGAAATTGAACGTTTAATGAAGGCTAAGTTTATCAGGACTGCTAGATATGTGTTGTGGTTGTCGAATATTGTGCCTGTTAGAAAGAAAAATGGCAAAATACGCGTTTGTGTGGATTTTAGAAATTTGAACAATGCTACACCGAAAGATCTCTATCCCATGCCGGTGGCTGACATGTTAATCGATGCCGTAACCAGGCATGTCAGGTTTTCTTTCATGGACTGTTACTCGGGCTATAACCAGATATACATAGCCGAGGAGGATGTACACAAAACGGCGTTCCGGTGTCCGGGATCCATTGGCTGTTTTGAGTGGATCATGATGTCATTTGGATTGGCCAACGCCGGGGCAACTTACCAACGAGCCATGAATGCAATATTTTATGACTTGATTGGCGAGCTTGTCGAGGTGTACGTGGACGACATCGTCGTCAAATCAAAGGTGAAAAACCACCACCTTGCTCATTTGCGCAAAGCATTTCTGCGTATGCGTGTTCATAAGTTGAAATTAAATCCACTCAAATGTGCGTTTGGTGTTAGTGCAGGAAATTTTCTTGGTTTTCTGGTAAACCAACGTGGAATTGAAGTAGATGGCAATAAAACAAAAGCCATCATCAATGCCGCACCACCATCTAGTAAAAAATAGTTGCAACGTTTCCTCGGCCAGGTAAATTACATTCGAAGATTTATCTCGAATTGCGCTGGCCGGACTCAAGTGTTTTCCTCATTGCTGAAGTTAAAGAAGGAAGACAAGTTTGTATGGAGGGAAGAATATCAACGTGCGTTTGATGATATCAAGAGATACCTGGCGACTCCGCCGGTAATGAACTCTCCCAAAGCAGGGGTGCCGCTGAATTTGTACTTGTCGGCCACGGACACTTCTGTTGCATGTTTGTTGGCTCAAGACAATGAAGCAGGCAATGAAGAGGCCATTTATTATCTAAGTAGGCTTCTGAACGAGGGTGAGAGAAAATATTCCCCCATAGAGAAGTTGTGTTTAGCGTTGTACTTTTCCTGTACAAAGCTACGCTACTACCTGGTCCCTGTCCAGGTACAACTCATTTGCCAAACAGACTTGATTAAATACATGCTATCTCGGCCACTTATTCATGGACGAATTGGCAAATGGACCTTGGCTCTATCTGAATTTAATTTAGAGTATGTACCACAACAAGCCATAAAAGGGCAAGCATTGACAGACTTCTTGGCAGATAATCCCTGCATTGAAGTGCCAAACGATCCCGTAGAAGTTTGCGAGGTTGGTATGACGCAATGGATCCTGTATTTCGATGGATCCAAAACTCGTGGCGGTGCCGGTGCTGGTGTGATGTTGAAAGCACCATCAGGCCGGGCCATGCATTTTGCATTCTCGTTGGATTTCCCTTGCACCAACAACCAAGCCGAATATGAAGCCCTGGTAGTCGGGCTGGAAATGCTCATTGAGCTTGGAGTCCGCAACGTTGATGTTAAGGGAGACTCACAGTTGGTGGTCCATCAGGTCCGCGGGGATTTTCGCTGTATCAATAGCGTTATAGAAACATATCTAGACCACGTATTGTCGTTGACTGCCCACTTCGACAGTATGGCGATCAATTTTGTTCCTCGAATGGACAATAACAAAGCCAACTATCTTGCACAAATGGCTTCGGGATTTAAAGAGTTTGGGAAAAGCAATGCAGTAGAGAAAATAGTGGTGCAAACACTTAAGCCTTTGCGGGAGCGGTTGAGAGTTGAGCAAGTTTGTGTAATAGAGAAAGATGCCGAGGATTGGCGTGCACCACTATTGTCTTACTTGCAAGATCCGAACAAGGTTGTTGACCATGTTGTCAAGTTTAGAGCAAGGAGCTACGTAGTTTTGGATGGGACCTTGTATAAACGCAGACCTGATGGGGTATTGCTGAAATGCTTGGGGGGCAAAGAAGCTTTGCAAG